CCCAGTGGGCGCAGTATGATAACCCGACGGAGGGCGGCGGTGGCAGCGCTGGGCACTGGCCCAACTGCACGGTGGTGGTGATGGCCAAGGTGTGGTTCGAGGTGGGGCTGGCCAGCACACGGTCGTACCACATCAGGGTGTCCTGCTTCCCAGTGAACTTCATCAACCAGAGTCAGACTCCCTACACCAACTGTACCTACTGACTGATCTCCATATATAGCAGCTGGATCTGGATGGATGCTTCTCTCTATCACCTTGTAATTCTTGTGTGTGTTGCGTGCTATAAATCGACTTCGTTCTTGACTGGCTCGTGACGTTGTACTTGATATCTTCTTGATATTAATAATTAGCTGATCGGTCAGCCTTCCAAACCTTTTAACATGCCATTTTAGCTAGGGCAATGCGGGTGTACTCTCACCTGATCATTTTCTCTTTGACATTGTCTCATAATGCGAATTCCATCTCGTACCGGATCCCATATAGGAAGGGGGCATAAACAGACGCCGACATTCTAACGATGCTTCCCATATAAGGAAGGGGGCATAAACACACCGACGCTCTCGTCTCCGTGTAGGCCTCTAAGGAGGGTAACGGTGCTTGTAGGTGCTACAATCGCCAGGTCCTACTGAAATAACATCATAGTTAACTCAAGCCTTGCCAAACAAAAGTGGAGTAGGCAAAAACAAAATAAAGGTAGATCTATAAGCATAAGCTTATCATGCCATAACAATAAGCCAAAACTAAATCATCAAACAATAACACAAGAAAAAATGCACTTGAAAGGGAAAATGAGAACAAGACAAGACCCATAAGATGCTGGGTAAAATCATGAAGTGAGCCACATGCAATAGCATGCAGATGACAACATGCTCTTAGGTCCATTTTGTTTATTATCCCTAGATCAACCATGCCAATCTCCACATGAAAAATCACAGCTACAGATGTTGGGGATTTGGTCCCAGCCTTAGAAAAGAAAAGGTAGAAGAAGCATATTAATTGAAGAAAGATAAATATGGATGGATGAAATTATCATGCCACAATCGTATCTTAAAATGTGGGTCCCCTCGCCATCTTTGCCAAAGAAAAAGAGAAAATGGAAAGGAAAAGAGCACAAAATAAGTCCC